GACAGGCATCTAGGCTCATGGCGTTTGCATGAGGAGGTTTACATGCAGTTTGGACACCAATCTAAGTTTTACCTTGTTTGGCCTTTATTTTATTTGACTCGTAGATCATGGCGTATGGACCTGCAGTTTTGACACAAGTAGGCTCCTGCGAATGTGATATCTTAAGCTCCCTTAGTTTTCGATATCTCAGCGGGGTAAAATTGACCCTCACCCGAGCAAAGGTAACCAAGAACCCGGCACGTGTTAAAGCAAGCAGTTGGTTACCCGCCCGATCGGCCTGGGTCGTGGAGCCTGGACCCAACCCTCTCGCCCGCATCCGCTGTCAGATTTCTGAGGGGGATTCGCTGTGTAAGTACAGCCGTTGCTAACGTCTCTTAGATGCTTCGTGAACTGAAGAAGCAAACTCACAATATAAAAACAACCACACCGGTGTGTTTGTCATTTGTTGTTCAAAAGTGTATTACATGGTAAGGTACAGGAATGCTGCAAATTTAACCTTGCAGGGACCGTAAGGTAAATTGGGAGCGAACAAAATTATCCATCCGTCCGTGCAAAGCTGGAATTTTCACGCTGTGGATCGGAAAATTAACAGTAAATACCGTGTTCTGAGTTCTTTGGGTCACTTATCAAGCAGAAATTATCCACATCTGCGCCCTCGTCACCAAATGGAATTTCATGTTATTACCTGTTGCATACCACCCTTTCCCCGATCCAGATTTGGTTGAGACCCGATAGCTGAGTCCGGACTTATTCAACTTGTGTGTTGAGTACGCCTGTCATTGTTTCGATGCAACGCATAAAGTCCGTCCTATTTCCACAGATGCTTGGAGCAAGGTGTCTTGACTACGGTACAGCTGCTCAAACGTAATCAGAGCTGTAAATGATCAGTTGTTTATGCTTCACAGATACTATAGAAAATGGTGATAACGATGTGATAGTGATACAATGATGTAATCATGATACAATGATGATATCATGACGATTAAATTAAGATGAAATGATGATTACGATAATCAACATTACCGATGTTGAAGTAAATGTTTCACATTTAAAAGAATTGAGAAAGTATGCGAGCTGGCAAAACAAGTTTACTTGCAAAGATTCGGTTGCTTTGTGATGTAAAATATTACTATTAACACTTAATTACGGGCGTAAAGAATACAGGGCCCGTTCCGTCATGATTTTGTTACGTCACAGAAAATCTTTGGGACGTGAGAGGTGCGTGAAATATGCGGATAAGCAGTGAAAGATGCGGCTTGCGAACATGCGCGATCATGGCAGGGTTTCACGGTGATCGTGTGAATACTGAGGGAACAGCAATGCAGAAGCGGTGAAATTGCCGTTGACATTCAGCAAATGTGCTTATTTTTAAATCTTTGTGGTGGTTTGATCACCAACATGCTGCATCTCACATCCACAGCTGAGCAGCAATACACCGTTATGATGCTGGCCAACCGCACTGATGCCAACCTGTATATCTTGTGGATGCGTGAATACCAGGTTGTAAGTGGCTGCTCTGAACTTAGGGGGAACTAATTGTTTTGGGGGAAGTAATCTGAAGTAATCTGCTCTTCTGGACCCTCTGGCTATAGCACTTCGCGGATTGATTTTTCAGAATCGGGTCCACTCCAATCCGGCTACCCCGATTCGATCCGCCCACCGATTTTTCGGAATCCGCTCTACCCAGATTTCTCAGTTCAATACAATCCGGCGCGATTTACCAGAAAAGTGTATGGAAGGAATCCGTACCAATCCGCTTCCAAACTAATGAGTTTTTGAAATTTGTACGGCAAATTTGGTTCATTTGCGTGTTTTAAATTTCACTTATTTGTTAATTTACATTGGAAAAAATGTGCAATAAGTTGCCAGAGACCAGTACTTAAAGGGAATGTTCCACAGTTGTATGACGTTTTGAGCTGAAATAGCCATCTTGAGGACATTTTGATGCAGTTCGCGGATATGTCCTTTTTAAGACCCAAAACGCTCTGGTTCCTGAGTTACACGCGCGCAAATTACGAAATGGCTTATTTACAGCCAACTTCACACTCGCCTTCTGATAAATGATGTCATTGAAACGTCATTCGATCCCCGCGATATTACAGGCGGTTTTTTTGTTTATGGTCAAAACAGCATGGCCGCTGATATATTCGCAAAGGCGATGATGCTGCACATGTGGTACAGTCCGCGCGAAGTTGTGCGACACTCGTCGTGAATGGGTCATTTTTCCTTATTTCTAGGCCACAGGTCAATATTCTAAAAAAGTTTTTTTGTGCTATGCTGTGTTCATGACCTTACACATTGGAGCACATGAACAAGTTATGCAAACGATGGAACCAACATAAGCATAAAACAATGTGGGAAACAAACAATCTCCACGTTCGGCCAGGCACGGCAGAATTTTCCCGTGACCTAAGATGAATCAAACCAAACATTTTAACCCAGGTAATCCAAAGCCTGTCAGTGAAAGTAAAACTTTCGGACCATCGGCGTTATTTGTTGTAATTTTTGGTATGATAACGGTCTTAGCGTTGAATGCTGCCCCGTTGAATGACATTTTAAACGCATTCAAAGAGTATCTTGAAATCAGCTAAATAAATGAACAAGCTAAATCAGTAAGCCTGTTAACTTAATAACCATGTGACATGCAGGCATCACATAGATCTTCGTCCAGCTTCATGACACCCAGGATATATACGACACACGTTTACCGTAGTTGTGTGTTTGGAAATAGCATGTCTACTGAATCATGCAAACAACAGCCACCCCGAACGGGCTGTGGGATGGGAAATCAGATTGCGATTTTGAGACTTAAAGAAATAAAATTTGGAAAAAAATATCAAACAGTTCAGTGGTTTGAAATTCTGTAAAACGTAATCGTACATCTTGGGCGGATCAAGCGTTAGAGGTTTATTTTGACGACCATTCCACTGGCACATACATTTCTGAAAGACTCGGTTCTTTACTGCAGACTTAAGTGGAACAACGTTGAGAAACATGTGCAGGAACGGATTCCTATGAGCTGCCAAGGACACAGAGGAAGGAGGATGGCTTACAGTAGTGTGCTGTATGCTTTTGTTTCGTTCCTCAGTGCCTCTCCAATGTGTTCCTTCCTCTGCAGCATGGCATTGGGACTTCATCGGTGGGCTGTCGATCATGTAGATCGCTTTCCGCTGTTGTACGACAGGTTGCTAGGACAGTTGTCCTGTCCTTGTCTCCTTCTGGCAGTGTCCCGATCTCGTTTATCGATTTTCCACGCCTGTTGGCATATTTGGGCTACACCAACGTCGATATTTTATGCTATATGTTTCTAACCAGTTCATGTGAGCCATCAGACGACAGGATTCCGCTCAGATATAGGTTTGTTCAGAGGACCTATTATGATCTGATGCGATGCACTATACGTGCCGCTGTAGGGTGGGAAATCCAGTGCTCATAAAGCGGGCATTCACCGCAGACTGTGCATCTTCTCCAGTGCATTACGGTAGGAGTAAAGCGTACAATTGCTGGTAATGCCATGCTATTCATGTATTGATTTTCCAAGAGCATGAACAAAAGCAGTGATCTACGTTTCGTAAATACAGGGTTGTTCGTGACTGCTCTCAACATAGGGCGAACTAATCGCCTTGGGGGAATTAGTCTGAAAATATGCTCGGGCATGTTTCAGATCCCATGATCTCAACGCACTACGAGCGTTCATATAATTTCATAAAACTGTGCAAGGGATGTGCACTGCTGATGAAGATATGGCTTGGTGTTCCGCTCCATCGCGACAGGAACCTCCTCTCAGTTGCGACGAGGAATGGACTAACACTAGAGTCATAAAACGGTCTCCATCCTAATCTGAGCGGGTCTTCTGCCATATCTATCACGACCATATCCGTCGTGACGAGGGCTCTCACCGTACCAAGTACCTCAGTAATCAAGTTGTCTACACTACAGGGCTTGGCGTGCTCCCAGTTATTACAGGACCTCGTGTCATATCTCACCATTACGTCACGTTATTCACTCCTCGTTATTGAATTTTACTGTCGCCCGGCACGTCTTGTTTTGGAACCCAGTGAAACCTTCCCTCGGTCGGAACAGTGGCCTCCTGCCTGTTGTGCAGCAACTGGAGACAATCCAGCTGATCCATATGACTAGGCCGTCCATTATAGTAGGTTGGGATTTGCTCTGGGTCGTGACATGTAACCCTGGCCGCATCTTAGTTCTCAACCACTTAAGAGCCTTACATTTTTAAGAATTCTTTCTCACTTAAGAAAGGGGCCACCTGTAGTGCGCTCACTCACGCCCATACCCAATCCTCTCATAACTGGACACCACTCCCGATCATTACAGCATTACGTCGTTAGTTATGGCCGGGCCCCACGACCGCATTATTGCCAATAATCATGTGCACTAGATCTGTCATGACTTTCGGTGATTTTATAAAATGGTGAAAAGATTTGCTCGCTCACCCTGCCTGAAAGCGGGGTGGCTGGCTACCCACCTTACTCACCCGGTGATACTCTATTTGATCGGCTCATTGACTTAACTGAGGCTCTCCGGAGCTTTAAGGCAACGCGAGCCAAAAATGTTTTGTTAAGTCAAGCATATATATGGAATGACGATATTTGAGCAATATATATATATATATATATATATATATATATATATATATATATGGAATATTGAGAAACAACAATAAAAAGATGTCATCTGCCATAGTTGCGTTCTTTCCTGTGCAACCATTCCGCCACAAACTTTGAAACAGATTTCCCAGACTTCACAAAACGGTGTACCGCATCGCACGCGCGGCCGTCGCAGGCTCCCCCGTCTCGGTGGCAGGTGGGCGCGCAAGCTGTGGGGTGGCGCAGAGTGGCAAGCGCATTTAGCTTACAGCTTCACAGATAGTATGATGTATTTTCACACAGATACATTAGATATGTTTGAGAACACGCAGATATAATCGGAGCAATGTAATCATTGTGTTTAGAGCTGTTGGAGAAAAGATGTTTCATAACTCCAGGCAGCTGAAATTCAAATGTATTTGGAATGCGAAAATACGCGAGTCTTTTCACACAATGATTCACCATAGCCTCAAAGGAAGTGGCGCGCACTGACCGGAGCAACATCACAACCGTATCGCCACGGAACACACGATATCATAAACATACAGCCAGTCTAAGATCCTGCGAAGATCTCGAGATCTGGTCGCCGACACCGCATTCATTGCAAACACACATTACAAATTTCTTAAGTGCGTAATGGACTCTGGTTGTGCAGTTAACACCTCCCAATGATACAAAGCTTATGGCGATGGATGTCGTGCCGCCGCCAGGATTTCAACGACACCGTGACGCCAGCCAGAGCACCAGCAGAGTAGCTTCCGCCAGCAGAGGCGCGGTGGGCTGCATCAGCCGTGACGTCAGTCAGAGCGCCAACAAGGCTGCTTCTGCCAGCAGCGGCGCGGCAAGTTACATCAGCCATGATGCCAGCCCGCCAGCAGGCCAGCTTCCCCCAGCAGCGGCGAGCAAGCCACGTCAGCCGTGACGTCAAGCAGAGCATCAGCAGAGCAGCTTCCGCCAGCAGCGGCGCGGCGAGCTACATCGGCCGTGACGTCAGCCAGAGCGCCAGCAGAGCAGCTTCCGCCAGCAGCGGCGCGGCGAGCTACATCAGCCGTGACGTCAGCCAGAGCGCCAGCAGAGCAGCGACACCGGGCAGCAGAGCGGGCCGTCTGCCGCCGACGCCGCTCAGGCACGCGTCCGAGCCATGTGTGAAGCCGGCACAGTGGGTCTGCGGCAGTGAGCAACAGGAGGCTCAGGGCGGGACCAGCATCGAGCCAGCGGGACGGCCGGGGCTCCGACGGAGTCCGGACCCCGGGGCGGTCGGCGGGACCGAGACTTCAGGCGCTGGCGACCTGGAACTGGCGGCCTGGCGCCGTTAACGGGGCCAGCGTGACATGGGCAATCTCGTCCTGCTGGCGCACACAGTCCCAGCGATATATCCGATCTCGTGGCATGCACGTTCCCGATGGCATGCATCTTGCTACCGGTGGGAAATGCCCTAAACTCCTGTTTTTGCTGCTGTGAGTTTTGATACTAAAAATAACCGACCTTCAGTTTGCTTGTAAACAAGATAGCAGCCAATCAATGCAAATTTATCATGAAGGCGCCCAACGTTACCAGTTTTGTTAACTGTCACAAAGAGAGGGAGAGAGAGAGAGAGAGAGAGAGAGAGAGAGAGAGAGAGAGGAGAGAGAAGAGAGGAGAGAGAGAGAGAGAGAGAGAGAGAGAGAGAGAGAGAGAGAGAGATAGAAGAGAGAGAGAGAGAGAGAGAGAGAGAGAGAGAGAGAGAGAGAGAGAGAGAAGAGAGAGAAGAGAGAGAGAGAGAGAGAGAGAGAGAGAGTTGATAAAAATTAGGGTGCATAAACCAAAGGTGCGTCAAAGATAACATATGTTCCTATCTCGTCGAACCTGCCGATACAAAAATCTAAAGATGTAAGAACATCGTGAGTTCGTAGCTGTAGCACGAGATATTGCGCAGGGCTAAAAGAATCGTTTTTTAGCACTATAATATCGCTTCACCAGCACCCCTAGTATATTAAAGGTTGCGACTTCAGCAATATAACACCGCTTCAGCAAGACCCCTGGTATACTGAAGGTCGCTACTTAAGCACTATAACGTCGCTTCACCAGCGCCCCCCGGTATACTGATCATCGTTACGTCAGCATAGGAACGACGGGCTTGGCAGATCTTCTCAAGGCATCCGCATTCTAACAACTTAATAATAGCACCTCAAGAACGCTCAGCTACGAGCCGCTCAAATCACACAACTAAACAGACCACTTCTCAGTGCTCAAAAACAGCATGCAGCATTATCTATAAAGTTTTTTTACGAGGCCATCACAAAAGTTTGCCACTGTAACTCCTAAGCAGCAAACACAATGTTGTTCAACCTGAACTGAAGTTTGCCAAATCTCAGCTAGGAACCAGAGGGTACTGCACGGCACAGACATCTTACATACCTATATCCTATCTCAAAATCAGTCAAAAATTGTCTGCTACCTATTAAGTCAGAGGAACATTGATATTTTTCATCGTCAACTGTCACAACAATGAACTAATTCATACCTCACCTCTCATTCACTACTACTCGTACTGTTCTCGGCATGCTTTTGCTGAGGCTATACGAACTAAACAGAAAGGTCGTCTTGCCTCATATGCGCAATATATGTCGCACATGACCTCCCAGGGATATCGTCAATAGCTATTTCCACGCAGCATGCAGCTTGTGAGAACTTTGCCTCCAAATTAAGTGGCCCTGGAGTGCTGGTAATGTGGCGCACAGCACTAATCTTTACGGAGCGCGGGAGCGTGTTTGACTCCTAACCCATCATAGAGTGACGTGATGAGATGAATTTAAGGTATTCTGTTGGAAACGACAGTCGGCGCCTAGATCGTCAGTCTATCTATTCATTTACTCAGACTTCCGTTCAGCTCAGTTCAGCCCCTTGCTGAATGGAAGACATGGGTTGTGTGAAATGGATTTTTGCTGGGATTGTTTGTGAGGTTTGTGAGAACTGCAACTGTAATTGGTAATACTTAGAACAGGTAAGTAGCTGAAGTCATCTTACGTTTGTAGCTTATGCTAGCTTATCGCTATTGCAAGAACTGTAGTCCGATGTTAAATTGTTGACACACGTTCTATTGCTCCATCGCATTCCATTGCTCCATTGGTCCATTGATGACGGCGTGGCTAATACTGGCTAATGAAAATGAGATGACAAGCGTGTGAAAGTGCTAGGCTGGCGCCTGGCGGTGCAGACTGTCAAATGTCAGGTTAAGTGCAGTTAAGTCCATACTGCATGCTATATAACTTATGGGCCTGGTCGTAGGTGCCAGGTAGAATATGCTAGCCTTATAACTGAGATTTGAGAGACCTGGTGTGTAACCGGTGACAGGAAAGATATTGTGTGGTGCACTGCATTTGGTAGCACCAAACTGCGAACTTGCTACTAGGCTGTTTTTATGTATTTTCTATAATAATATACTATATGTGTATGCATTATTTATATATATATATATACATATATAAAATATATATATATATATATATATAAATACGCGAACTCAATCAGATGTTTAATTTGCAACCGAGTCTATTAAAAAGTTGGAACCGTTACGAGTCGTGAGCTGAATCGGGTACTAAAATAGGTGAGTCGGCCCAGAGCCGATTACAAAAATGAGTCAAATACAAACCTGCTTATAAGCGGATAAGTTGCAACATGTCACTGAAGTTTACGTGGATGAAATACGCAGGTAATAGATCTGAAACTAAGTTATTTCGAGACATCATTTGAATATTGCAAACAAGTGGGTAGACAGAAGGAGGGTAAAACATTTCAGACAGGTGGGTGAGCGAGCGGATGAAGCCTTTGTTGCGGTGGGTGGTGGGTTGGTACCTACCTGGCTGAACGAGTAGAGGTACGCTACCGGCATGGACATCGTAGCCGTGGAGGGCTTTACTATCTAGCATATTCCCTAGCGGTATCGGCAAGCTCTTCGTAAACGCGCGCCCGCAAGGTGTTCATAAACCAGTATTCAATGCCAATTTCCTTTCTCCAGTATGAAAAGACCGGGGCAAAACTGGCCACATCACATTTTTTTACGCGTGCATTTTATTTTCCACCCATTCGCACAAACATGACAATGTTTTCTTTCTGGTGGACACGTTAGGGTCTCTATGGTGATTGGGCTAAATTTGGCTTTTTGATTTTTGACAATCTAGAACCATCAGTCCGCGCTAACAAGAAAAACGCGAAATGTTTGACGGTATGGCGATATTCATCCGTTTGCACAGCTTCCGATGCGTAAATGGCGGTTGCAAACAGGGCATATGTTTGCAAGATTTGGGCAGCATTGTTCACTAGTCAGTGCGTTAACAACATTGGGGTCTAACAGCAATGGACTTTGGGAGCGAATTTTTAAACCTCATGTTTTGTGTGGTTCATTGGGCGCTTTCGGCTTAGCCGACGTATCGAGAGTTAGGATGCCAAGTCCTGAGAGAAATTCTTGGTAGACCTTTCGCTTTGACAGCCTTTGGTAGGTTTCATCTTGACGATATATCCGGCAGGAAACGTCGTGACCTTTCGGCCCAGCCGTATGCGATTCAAGCCGGCCATTTCCAGAGCGCGGTATATACTGTTAGTGCGTGGAACTTGGAACGAATACCTTATCATGTTATTTGTTCTGGTTGCTTGTTTTCTTTTTGCTCGGCAGAGTTAAGGAAAGTTTGGAACACGTTTTATCTTTCACCCGCATCAACTTTTTTAATCTAACTTTGTTTACGTAACTGGTATCACTGGTGACCATGAGCGCACCTAAAAACCCTGGATATTTTCATGATGCGCTTCATTGATGGTGTGGTATCTTCGTCTAACCAGTAGTTTCTGGTGTAATAAAGGGCAGCATCTGTGAGCATAAAATTCTAAACAACACAGATTCACAGATGAAATACTCTATTCATCTTTGAAATGCTTGCCTCTTACCCCGATGTTAAGCCTCTCCCCCCAATAGCACGCAACCCCACGCTTAAAAGCACTGGAGCGGGGTCGAGAATTTAGCCTTGTCTTGCCCCCTCGCTCTTTCCCTTCAGAATATGTGTTTCGTCCTCGATCAAATGTTGTTTTTTTACGAAGCACCACTCCTACACAGACCTTCATGACACACACACGGTCTTGGTGGAATGAAGTGATGGCTTGTGACACAGCTGTAGGTCGTTGCAGCAGGCCCCACACAATGGTCAAACGGTCCAATACCGCACCACAAACAGGCGCCACACACCTGTCAAACAGTCCCAGAACCACACGACCCGCAAGCCCCACACACTGCCCAAGCGGTCCCAATAGAACACACACGCAGGCCACATACACTGCCCAAACGGTACCAATACCACACAACACGTAGGTCCTACACACTGCCTAAGCGGCCCCAATATTGCACCACAAACAGGTGCCACACACCGGTCAAACAGTCCCAGAACCACACCACCCGCAGGTCACACACACTGCCCGAACGGCCCCCATAATACACAACATACAAGGTGACACTGAAGGAGCCTTGTAACACGGAACCAGCTGCGGCGATTCAAACTGAAGCCTGGATGGCCACGGCCGAATGCATGCACTTGTACCGACACTCAAGATCTGCCATCCCGCATACCATACACAAGTTGACAAGAGCTCCCTTCGAGAGCAAAGAGAGAAGAGTCGCTACTGTGGGCGTGTGGTTGGTCTTGCTTGTTACTCACTTGTACAAGTGGTCCCGCCAGTCGTTCTAGAAAGTTCTTGGTGAAGTTTGCCGTGCCGATTCCACATCTATGCATCACTGCTTGTTGAGAACAGTGAAGGTAACTCTTGAACGAACTGAAATAGCGTGCATTTTACCGATGAGGATCAATAAATCAACAATGCGTGCCTACACTTTCTCGAAAACTCTTCTATCCCAGACTCCATACACAAATCTTCTCACACAAATCTTCGCTAACTTTAAAACCACTAGTTTAAAAAACGTACGAAACTAGTGAAAGTCATTACCCTCATACGCCACGCCCCGGGTGCAAATATCTACATACAAAAAAAAATCATTCGCATGCACCAAATATGGTTTATAAAAATCACGTGGTGGATGCAGTACTCTACACGTAAATGTTTGTGCGCAGATCTCTTTGCGACACATTGGGTGAGTACACAGTTCTAGACATCGCATGCACGTGCGCACTTCGCATGTGCTTTTTGCTCACAACATTTGTTTCTCACACGCAATGCTTTCTGCAACATTTCTGATGCAAACATGTTTTTTTTTAATTTCATTTCTAGGTTTGCCTAAAGGTTTATTTCTGTCGCAGTCTTATATTTGAGCATTTGCTTCCTTTCCTGTAACGATGACAAGTTGCATTAAATCCCAAATTCAGTGGTTTCACATGACACTGGGAAGTTAAGCTAAGATCAGCGTAAGCTCCCCGCCATACAAACGTCGGCAATCGCACGGGCTTGGACGGCGTTGGCATAGGTCTGTCATACTGTTCATCCCTCTTTTATGATGTTTATTGCAACGTTGCATCCTGGCACGCTAAGCGCTTTGGCCATGAGCGACGCGACCAACTCACGCCAGCCGGTGGGAGACTACGATCGTCATGCCCGTGGCCTGCTCAGCACAATGTTTCCTTTTCATACCGTTTTCACCCGTCTCGTCCGGATTTAACCGGATCCGTCCAGCATGTAAGTGCTCCGGCGTCGGTAACAACACTTCTGAACTGCATGCTGTCACGGCTTCATATGACGTCTAGTGCCTCAAATATTTTTTCTACAAACGAGAGTAGTCCCATTTTCCCTCCGCTGGCAAACCTAGTCAGACAGCCAAGTGCTCACAAATACACAGATATCCATCGAGCAGCGCAACACAAACTAAGCACACAGTATTTGTCAACACATCAAAGGGTCGTGTTTACCAGCAGAGCATCTGGATCTGGACGGAAGAGTCACCAGCGTCTGCCGCCGGCGAGTCGATTGTAATCAGGTCCATCTGCGAGTGATACTCGTCGGCGCACACCTCGTACCCGCGCTGCACGGTGCGCATGCAGGGCGCGTGCAGCAGGTACTCTGCAGGGCGAAGAGCGAAGTGCGATGTTAGCGGCCACTGACAGATGGCAGCAGGGCGGCGGGCGCGGCTCAGCCCGTCAAGACGCCGTGGGGCTCTCGTCAGTACTGTGCAGCGGTCGTTTGACCACCAGGCGATTGATGTCCATGTCACGGCATGGCAGTCGGCCTGATGACATATGATCGTCTGACCACCGCCATGGTAGTCGGCCTGATGGCATGTGATGGTCTGACCACCAGCATGGTAGTCGGCCTGATGACATATGATCGTCCGACCACCCGGCGATTGGTGTCCACGTCACGGCATGGCAGTCGGCGTGATGATATATGACGGTCAATTTATTGTAAGTACTTGTAGCGGAAGTGATAAAAACTGGATGCGAAGGGAACGAGGAGGGCGTCGTAATTCCACTGACGGAACGTAATACAATTCATTAGAGGCAGCTTCAGGTGTGCACTGCATTTGATGCAGTGAAGGACATGCTTGGAATGCAATTATAAAATGCTTGTGATACCCCGCCGGAAGCCATCACTCAGCCGTTCCGCGACTGCAAGCTCAGAGAACGCAGAAGCGACTCTGGTTGAGAGCGTGGTTTCAGCCCAGTGCTGTCGCGGTTCTGTAGTGCGCTCTAAGCGAGGACGACGTTTAACCTGAACATTCTTAAGACTGCTCATGACGATGAAAGTAAAATGCTGACATTACGTTTGCTCACGTTGAGATTAAGTAGGTGTTACAGTATGTGCGATGTGTAAGCCCTGAGACCATGTGATTCAATGGTTGCACAAATGTCTCCATTGTTTTCCTTACCCAATGTGCACAGGTATACTTTGGTTGCACTTTTGCATCCTGTAGGCGCTTTTTAGACCGTGTTCCAGTTTTGCCTACGGCAAACAAATCATAAGACAACCTACAATCAGAGCATGAAGAAACAGTGCACCAACCTGGCTCAATTTCAAAAGATGCTCACCCATCTTTTACCACTTCTTGACCGCTGTGCCCGGGAAATTACCGTGCATAGTTTCGTTCGCAGATTTAACGCTATTCCAATGCATGTACTCGCAATAGTCTTGCTGTAAAGGTACACGCGTGTCCCTGTTTGAAATGCATAATCATCTGTTCAAGATGTTGTTCATGGGATGTGTCATGCTTTCAGATATGACTTTCGGAGAAGGCAAAAATGTATTGTCCCTTTTGCAGTTCTTTTTCACAGTTATCATATCAAAATGAGCCCAATTTGGCAGAGCTAAAATCGTGCTCACAATGCACCGCAGTAATCTGTAATATTTAAGTCAACTCAAGACGCGTGACAAATGTGCATTGGTAGCTTATTACACTGATCTTGAGATCTAAGCGCAGGTAGCAGGTAGCAGACAGGCAAAAGAAACCGTTTCAATTTATACGCGAATTCAAACGCTCATGTTCGGGTCGCGATAAATTTGACAATGGTGTCGGCGCGACGAGCAGCAAAAACGTCCGGTATCCGGTATCGCCGGTATCCGGTGTATCCGTCCGGTATCCGGCGTATCAACGTCCGGTATCCGGTATCGCCGGTATCCGGTGTATCCGTCCGGTATCCGGTGTATCAACGTCCGGTATCCGGTATCGCCGGTATCCGGTGTATCCGTCCGGTATCCGGTGTATCAACGTCCGGTATCCGGTGTATCCGGCCCGCGTCTCGCAACCGTCCAGGCAGTGACAAAAATGCTCAGTGTGGCGTGCATACATGTATATGCATTCACCGTTTCTGAAAGTCGCAGCCCCAGTGTCTAGCCTGCTAAAGTCAGGAGACACGGAGCAGTGGCCGCAGTCTTCGGTGAAAACACGGCGGTGCAAGAGCACATGGCTCCGGGGCACCCTGGCCAAATGACATTATGTTTCGGTGGTACCGCGCTCCGCAGGTGGTACGTTCTTTGGCACCCTGGTCCGATAACCCTTGGTCACATGGCACCATCGCTCGATGGCGCCTCGGTTCGGTGGTGCTGTGGTCCGGCCGCACTTAAATTTCATGGTGGCATGGTACGGCTGCACTGGGGTCCGATGACACCGTGGTCTAACGGCGCCATGGTCCGGTGACACGATGGTCCGGTGGTACCGTAGTACGGCTGCACTGGGACCGATGACACCGTAGTCTAACGGCATCATGGTCCGGTGACACGATGGTCTGGTGGTACCGTAGTACGACTGCACTGGGGTCCGATGACACCGTGGTCTAATGGCGCCATGATCCGGCCGAATCACGGCCCAATCGAGGGCAGAGCAGCGCAGCTGACGGCCACAAATCCTTGCCCGCGGCGAGGACCGACGGCGGTCTGGGCCGCCAGATATTGCGGCCGCACTCAACACGACGCCACACTGGAGACATTTCAGCACTCAACTGGTGCGAAGGTCAGGTCTGAGTAAAGTTCTATCCAACTTCGTGCGTGTAAGTGTTTCAATCTACGATGGAAATAGCACGCCTGTCGAAGCGTGCCCCTGTCGGGTAACGCGTTGATGCGTTTACAAAATAGTCCGGGTGGGATATTTCAGCTGTGCGATTTTGATATTGACAACCGAAACGGATTAGCATTTATAGCACCGTTAACTAGTGCTGGAATGAGGTGGTTGAACTGGAAGAGAAAAGGAAGAACCCTTACGTTTCGTGTTGCTGCAGCTGTTAATCAGTTCAGGGGAGAGTCTGGAAATTGTACGGGTGAGGTATGCGTCCCAGTCTTATCGTTGAACGGAACAAAATTATTTTTGAAAGACCTCCGGAATAATTATTTCACGACTGTCGATCTCGCGCGCCAGGTGCCTGTCGCCTCATATCATCTGCAGCGGCCAATGCCGTTCAGTTTTACGGAACTTGGAATCCTGGCCATCGATGGTCTTGCTCCCAAGATTGCGAGCGCGCAGGCTTTTTTGCACCAGTCAATGCTGCAAAATGATGGACGTCCTTGGGCAAAGATGGGTGGGGCTTTTTCATTTGTGACCTTTAGATCCACTCTATTGAACACTAATGAAACCCCCATATCTTTCCTGGCAGTGGGCCCCGCGGAAAGAACGCGATCTCTCTCGGCAGGGGGCCCATGGGAAGAACATAAGGGGGCGCGTTATCGTTGCCGGTCAGGGCTGGAGGCCATTCACTCTAAGCGTGGGGAGCCTGCCAGCTGTCATTCTGGCAGCATGGCCGGCAGGCTCTCCTGGTTGGTCCGGAGGTCCTTAAGGAAATGCATCATGTAGTGGTCCGCTCCCAGATGCGGGAGGCCCACTAAGCCGGATAGTTGGCTCTGGATCGATGCATGTTCTTCATTGACGCAAACAGATACTTTATCGCTGCCGGGAGTCCTATAATTGGCATTGAGATTTCAGTTCAGCTCAACAGGCCCTTGGCTGAAGTGGGGAGGATGACCTTCGGGATTGAGCCGTGACGGACACAAAAGCCTTTCATTGCCTCATATTGTGGACTCTGATCATAACGTCTTATAGCTCCTTTCATTGTCAGTCGCCGCGACCAACGCATGAAGCTCTCTGGCATTCGGCGTTCCGTTCCTGTCCCTGTACAGCAAATGTTGCCCTGTCCGACTCGTGACCCGTCGTCCACATAGCGCCCGCTGTTAGGCACTGTGGGCCTCTCACCAAGACGGGGAGCCCTCATTGATTCAGGGCCCTGACCAAAGCAAATCGCTGGCCCAGCCATGACCCGGCTTGGGGAATGGTCCTCAAGGCGCAGAACGACACGGAGCCGACTGTTCGGTGCAGGTGGTCTCCGACCGAAATACTGGCCCGCATTGTCACACGGGTTCCCAGTCGATGCAGAAGGCCATTTGACTGAAACTGTAGGTCCTGTCCCTACGGGCCGGGGTACGTAATGTGGCCTACAGCGAGTCCTTCGGGCCCTTCGGCCCCTAATCGGACCCTTGATGGTCGGTCTCGCATGGCGCTTTGGTCCCCTCTTTGGCCACCCTCGACACTGCCCGTGGCCAACTCCGGGCCCTTAGCCAGCACAGGAACCCTATTAGGCACTGTGGGTCCCTAGCCGATACTAGGCGTCTCTCACTGACTCCAGGGCCTCGACCAACGTAAATGGCGGGCCCCGAAAGTGTCCTTGCCAAAGGAACCATCCCTCAGGCCCAGATGGACGCGGAGCCGACTATCCGGTACTGCTGGTGCTTGACTGAAATAGAGGCCCTTATCGATTCAGAGGCCTCAAATTCACGCAAAGGGCCCTCTGATCGGTATTTGATAACCCAGACGTGCGGGCTGGGTCCTCTTAATACGACTTGCGAACAACCTCTCGGGCTCTTCGGGCCGCGAAATCGGACCCTGGGGTCGGGACCTAGGGAGGCATGTGCCCGTTGTACCCCCCTCCCCTGTCTGCGCCACTGGTTCTGATTATTGCTTCTAGTACGCACACTAATGCTCAACAACAGTGCCCAAATGGCATACAGCTGGCGCGGTCACGCATGCGCCCTCTGTTGGTTTAGTAACTAAAGTGATTTAATTTTTGAGTGATGGCCCTGGCATTGAGCACGGATGGCAGCGATGCTCAAACGGACACCACCCCAATACATTAACTTCAATTTCACGTAATTTGTGTTAACTTGACCTGTTGCGGAATACGTCAAGTAAGGCAAGACAAGAAGATTTTCCGTGCCATGTGACGTAATCCCGCGGCCACTCTATGCGACATGACCTTGCCAGTCGACCGCCTTTGATTATCCAAATCATCGAACGCTTTTTATTGGACGGGAAGCCACAAAGCGGTCACGTGAGCGATCGTCTCAGCCGCGGGCCGCCCCTGAATGCGCAGCTTCAGCAAATGTTGAAGATGCGAATGCGTTGTCAACCGGCTTTCACGACGCTCAGGTGCGTTCTGTTAAGTTGTCAAGTCCCTGGCGCATCAATGACGATGTGTGTCAATCTCCCAGGTGGGACGCTGCATCGGTTCAGAGTTCGGTCCACGGACCCGGAGTTGCAGCCGCGGCCCGAGGGAGAACAGTTCGCAAAGAAGAGCACTTTGGTAAGCGACACGACGGCAGTGCCCCCGGAGCGACTGGCTCACCGGTCTGGTAGTCTCCAGGCGAGCACAGGCCAGAGATCAGACGTTGTGTGCCAGCATACAGGGTATTGAAGTACGACCGGTGATGGGGCTTCAGGCAGTCCACTGCGAAGTTCTCCATGCAGTCAATTCCCTCCATCAGCGTGCTGAAACCGAGAGCACGGAACTTCCATCAGACAGTTCTGAATGATGGCACGGACCTTGCATTGGACAGCAGAAAATGAAAACGCGTGTCCTGCATCGGTGTAATGAAACCGGGAACACGCATCGTCCACTGATGGATATAAACTGAGAGCACACGTCATCTATCAATGAAGAGAAACGGAGAACACTTATCACTTCATGGCGAATCGACGATGAACATGTGTGTTCTCTACTCGCCGACAGAAGCCGAATCACCTATTTCACGGATGGAGTGCTTGTTCAGAATGTCGTGCTCATCTGGTGTGCTGTATGCACACAGCAACTATTCCATCCGTAAAACTAATGCCTTGTCTCAATCCTTCCGCAAAACTGCACCCGTCCTTCATTGACCAACTGAACTAAAACTGACAAAATAAGACTTTCGTTGCTGCCGGTTGTGCCAAACATGAGACTCATCTTTGCGCTGAGGTATCACTTCCCATTGTGTTTGAAATTTTCTGGCGTGTTATATATCTTACACTTGAAAGTATATTTTTTGACGAGCTAGTAAAAGTCACCCTTATAACCCCTCTGCTAAACGTGACGGAGTTGTGTACGCCGTAATTGATCCATCAGTTGGCTCTGGCTTCTACCACTATTTTTACTGTTATTCCCGCTTGACGTCATTATGCTATACCTGAACATTGCTCATCGTATATCTTTCTTCTATCTTCTAGCTATCTACTTCTATCTACTAATGTGCGAAAAGAACAATGTGTGTAGGCATGTCCGCCAAAATTCTTTGAGATCAGGCACAGGCCATACGATAAGGAAATTTGAAAGTGAAATTTTCACACGACCAAGGGCTGATGCCATAGTACTCTGTTTCATGTTATAATTCTGCATTTCGCAAAAATGAGCGCGTGATAGGCGAAAAAAGGGCGCAAAAATCCATCATAGGTTTAGCATGGGCGACATCGATTGCGCCTGCCAACGCATGCGGGCCGACACACGTGCACTCTCGGAGTTATATCACAAAAACGTCGGGTCGCAGCAACATGAGACTTATACGGCCAAACAGATAACCGCATGGGTCATCGGATGATAACAAGTTGGTGGCGCCACGTCACGCGTTGAACGTGCGCGATGGGTAAACATATCAAACTGGCCGTTTTTGACCGCTTTTATTTTGTTTTGGCTGATATCGCGTCAGGCAACACAGCTAGAGGCGTGAATTTTGTTTCCAAACATTCACGACTGAGGCAGCTACAGTCGCAGAGTGCATCGCAAGCTTGTGAGACGCGCGGTTGCGCTGTGAACTGTGAGACAAGTTGCAAGCGGCTAAGTTTTAAAAGTTGGCGTCGAATACAAGCCTTTAGCGGTCAAAGCCAGCTCTATGAGCAGCGTCAACAAGGTCAGCAGAATAACGTGGTCACCATCACCGGTCCTCCGGCCGGTCCTCCCTGTCCTCCGGCCGGCGAGGCGGAAGAGCTGTTCACTTCGTGGACGGCGGGGTGTGCTCACTGGTCATCCTCCGAAGGCAGAAAGAAACTACCACCCGTAGCAGCGGGATCTGGGCATAGCGGTGCCGCAGCGCCGCACAGCCTGCAGGACTGCGTGGAGCAAAATCGAGCGCTGGGTCGCTGGACATGTCATATAAAGTTGATGTCAGGGAACGGCAAGTTGAGTGCTTGAACAAACAGACAACGCACCATAGAAATGTTCTCATGCAGATTGCTTTTTCTCATTTCAGAGGTATGGTCATTTATTTTACGTTAGGTGCCCTCTTGTGGAAATATCCGGGTCTTTCAGTATATTCCTCTAGCTACAGGCTTAGTGGGGCTTTGCTGTCTGAGACCTTCCGAATCTTTCCAGATACGGAGTTTGAAGTGATGGCACGCATTTAAGTCTAAATGTGTTCGGGGAAGTGTGCAAGATTTCTGGTGTTTGCATGTATGGAAGAATAGAGTTGGTGCGCACACGGGAACCTATAACGCTTGTTTTGGGGGTATCCAGCCGCTCACTACATGCCGGTCCAGGTGTCAGCCCGGCTCAGGCTGTTGCAGTGCGCAGGCTGGGAAGGAGTCCGATTTAACGTTGCGAAGCTTATGTCTTGTTTGTGGCTTCGGAAGTGGGGGTGGCTTGATGCGATGATTTGTGATGATGGCGTTTGACGGTGTATTTGATGGTTTTATGATGATGGGTTTGTGATCACAGCGCCGCACAGCCTGCAGGACTGCGTTTGGAGTTAACAGAAAAAGTTTACGTCAGAAACTCCTTATACAACTTTGCCTGAAGACGGGAAACTGCACGCCGTGCTTGGCTCCCTTTTGGCTGCATAAATCACTTGTACAGCTTGTGAATGTTATCTTGCTGTGTTTCTGACAATTCCTTTGATATAGGGAGTTATGTCTGGTTTAGACGGAATGCGTCCAAACTGTCGTCGTCTCGTTGTGTCTGCTACGGTGTGTGTTGTCGATTTGAATACATTTGAATGGCATGTTGAAGCTGATGATCTTGTCCATATCACCGTCTACGATTTGCATGTCTTCGAGTGCTCAGCCGGCATTCCTGTATGCGGACCACTAGACTATCACAATGATAAGTCAATGACATCCAGCACAGTGCACCATCTCATTTAATGGCTAGGCAATTTTAAGAGCACAGCCGACGGAGTTCCAAGAAATGATGGAGGGTGCCAGTTGATGTAGCGCGGGACCTGTCTGACCTGAATGGGATCACGTGCATTGGGAATTCTCGTGGGATCATCCGAGATGCCGGTTTTACGTCGGTCCTTACACAAGTTACTGCATGAAGTATGTTCGAAACATAGAACATTTTTATAATTATCACATATGTTTTAAGGAAAGGAGTGAGCACAGGATTGGCCGACCTGGGGTACCGTAAACATTATGAAGCCCAAATGTTCTAAATGAATGTAATTAAGTATAAATCTAAACCTAAATGCCTACGCTCTCTTTATGTGGGCCTCGCTGTTTTGGCACGTCAAAAGGAGTACATTCAGGCTACTATGCCTCCACGTTTTTCTTTGGCTCTGAGGACTGCATAGCAAAAGGGAATCGGAAATAGGAATGAGTTTGATAATATCACATCTTCCAAGATCTTTCAGGGAAGCCTGCATTTCGCGGGATTTTCATTAGTATGATGTGCTATTTTGCAGGAATTCATGTCTTTACGGAGGAGTAAGTTGGGAACTGGAGAAGGAGGAGGGAGCGGAACGTACGCTCGTGGGCTCAGTTGCGATTTATTCAGGGCCTGAGAAGTCGAGGCCCTCAGGGAAATATAACTTTAGACCCCTGGACCACGTAGCGGGCTTATGATCATTGGACGGCTCTGTGTGAGGCCCAAATTAGTTGCAAAAAAAGCACAGAAACAACAGAAAGTAGCAAGCGCAGAATATTTGGGGAACTTTCACTGTATTTCTATCACTTTCGTCCAATATATGCTCGACGATGTAGGTTTTAGTGGCGTGAACTTTCCTGTTCCAGAGCACTGTGCTGGTTCTGAAAGCTAGTTGTAGAGCTACAGGAAATTATAAGTGTATTTACAAAATGATGTTATAAATCTAGTCTTTGTCGTTTGAAGTATTTCGTAAGATGCAACGTTTTTACCCGAACATTTATAGCTGGGCGATTTCGGTCAGCATTACTTCTAACACCGATGACAGCGGTTGCTAGGAAACGCATGTACCAAAAAGTATCCTCTCGGCTACCCCCGGTGCGAGTTCAAGGTCAGACGGCGATACGATCAAGTGAATGGGTGTCGTATTTTACTGTTTTCGACCGATTACGCAATCTCACACCAATATCTTGACAATTGGAGGACGGTTCGGACAACCCGAGAGTGGCACAAAACTTGTGGTATGGGAAATGGTACGGTCGCACGTGTCATGCGACACGCGCACAAAGATGGATTTTGCGATGCTCCGCGGGTGTACACGTTTTGTGGCACATCTCAGCACCCAGGACACTTGGAAGTGGCATGCTTCGACAGGGAATTGAACAGGAAAAACATCAATGGTTGGTCATACGTGTCACGCTTCATGACGCCCACGTGCTAAAAAAATGGATTTGGCTATTTTTGACGGGTTTTCACGTTTTCCGATGTCTCGGCGCCCAGGGCATGAAGCGACCGGAGAATGAAATACTTAAATAGGGTATTGAATAGAAAGGTGGAAACTACCAAATGATACAGTCCAACGTGCCACGTGTCACGCGCACACGTGTTGGCAAGATGGATTTTTCAGCTTACGCCAACTTTCACGTCTTGCACCACGTCTCGCGATTTAGGTTACGAAGTGATTCGGGTGTAACATGCGTCAATAGTGAATCAAACGGGCGGTTAGGTGGCACCAAGTTTTTGATCACACGGGCCACGTGTCGCGATTACACCAGCTGGCAAGGTGGATTTTGCATTTTTCAATGGCGTTCACTTTTTGCCACGTTTCCGGCACCCAAGGCTTAGAGCGACAGGATAATGGAATGTAACGAGAAAAGGAATGTAAAGGGCGTGACGACAATGGCCGGTGACACGTGTCACGTGCCACGTGTTCACTAGCTGGAAAGATGCAGTTTGCCGATTTCGGCAGTTTTTATGTCTTACGCCACATTTTCACACTTATGGCATGTAGCGACGCGGGACTGGCATGCCACAATAAGGACTTAAACGCTCAGTTATTCATTTCCGCGAGTGCGCACGCACGAGTTACGTGTCACATTCAGAAGCTCCGGAAACAATGAGGTGCGTATTCTGCAAGTTTTAGAGCTGTGTGCCACATTTCAGCACCCAGGGCACGGAGCCGCTGTGGACTGGCATGCATTGATGGCAATCGAAGAGACAATCACGTGGCATAGATTGTGCTGTCGCACGCGATGCGTATCTCGCGTGCACGAACCAGCGAGATGGATGTGGTCGGCACCGTCTTTCACGTTTTGCGTCATATCTCGGCACCCAAAGCAGCTAGGGACGTGAATTCAGCTGCAGAGCGTATCGAATTTAAATTGCTATCCCTTGCGCAGCGAAGAAAGCGTGAAAACGCTTGTTGGAGAACTAAAACTGCACGGCTCGGTTCGCGCTTATTTAGACGGACCACATTGTCCTTCTGCAGGCAGTGCCATTTATTACACTCGCTTTCCACTACGATAATAAGAGAGCGTATGAGAATATTTGTCTGCAAAAGCCTTGCTTACTTACAACAACCTAGCACCGTTTTAAGGTAGCGCCCTCTACCTCGTTTAGTAGAATAGTATGCTTTTTATTCTCTGGTAAAAACAAGAGAAAATACCAAAATATTCACGGTTGATGTCTTGCGCCCGGAATGGACAAAACTTACCCCTGTCGCGTCGAAACACAGCTGCGGACACGGTGTGCGAAATTTGAGCACATCGTCATGCCTGCCGGGTGACACTACATCCAGTACAGGCGCGCCCAAATATCATTATCGGTCGGTCGATACCGAAACCATCGTTAGGAGCTGCCTGGGGACCGACCTCATATCGCACGGGGAAGCCGACGTCGCTACCATCGATCGTGGTCAGGTTTTCCGGCATCAGAGGCTGCGGAGGCTGCTGCACGCGCTACACCACCACGTACCCAAGCCCAGCGGTGATCGCGAACCGGACACTGCTCTGTACCGCCGCACGCTGCTCTGTACCGCCGGGCACTGCTCTGTACCGCCGGGCACTGCTCTGTACCGCCGGACACTGCTCTATACCGCCGGGCACTGCTCTGTACCGCCGTACACTGCTCTGTACCGCCGGGCACTGCTCTGTACCGTCGCACACTGCTCTGTACCGCCGGGCACTGCTCTGTACCGCCGCACGCTGCTCTGTACCGCCGCACACTGCTCTGTACCGCCGCACACTGCTCTGTACCGCCGGACACTGCTCTGCACCGTCGCACGCTGCTCTGTACCGCCGGACACTGCTCTGTACCGCCGCACACTGTTCTGTACCGCCGGGCACTGCTCTGTACCGCCGCACACTGCTCTGTACCACCGGGCACTGCTCTGCACTGCCGGACACTGCTCTGTACCACTGCACACTGCTCTGTACCGCCGGGCACTGCTCTGTACCACTGGAAACTGCTCTGTACCTCTGTACACTGCTCTGTACCGCCGCACACTGCTCTGTACCACCGGGCACTGCTCTGTACCGACAGACATCGCTCTGCACCGCCGGACACTGCTATGTACCGCTGCACACTGCTCTGTACCGTCGTACACCGCTTTGTACCGCCGGACACTGCTCTGTACCACCGCACATTCGTCTGCCGCTCGGCCGCGTCTCGGTCAGAAGTACACCACTGCACACGCCTGTGTGCCACAAGTGTCAGGCTACTTTTCGTTACCATCGACCTCTTGCTTGCTGTTCTGCCGTATCTAGGTCAGCGTCGTACATACGTATGTACGTCGCAGGTGTTTTGTGTAATCTGACATTTCAAGAACAAACTAGGCGTTTCACGCATTACCAAAGTTGTATGTTATCTCCGCGAAATGACCATCATACGTGTTCTAAATACTCATACCGGTTCCCACAGCCGCGGCCAAATATTTCAGACACCAAGTGCAGCAGATGGCAGAGAGTCCCTGAAGCGGCTGTTTGTCTGACTCGGCCGGAGGCCAGGTGGTGAGAGGCGAGGTTCCCACAGTTCTACGGCGCGTTCGCGTCAGAGCAGTTGATGTCAGAGCATTGGGAAGATTCTCTCGGACAGGTGCACGCAAAAAGGTCTGTTACACTGGGCGAAACAGCGGTCTTAAACACGCATCTCAATAAACTGTTCCGACAGAGTACAAAGGAAATATCGATTTATTTTCGGAAACTAACATTGAATTCGTTAATTCGTAGTTCATCAATGAAAGGTGCTCACACCACGTAAGTACCTTCATTTCTATTCAAATTCAGCCATTCATAGTGTGTGTGTGTGTGTGTGTGTGTGTGTGTGTGTGTGTGTGTGTGTGTGTGTGTGTGTGTGTGTGTGTGTGTGTGTGTGTGTGTGTGTGTGTGTGTGTGTGTGTGTGTGTGTGTGTGTGTGTGCGAACAACACACGTCGCCCTACGTCACCGTCTGTTTGCTGACAGGACGCAGAACCTTGAAGCCTAAACGAGCGCATCGCACGTGCTATACGGCACTTTCAGCTCGTGGTGCTGCTCTGTCCGTTCCCCGCCTGACACATGCACCTGCTAAAAACCCGTCCCTGAAACAAGGACTGATCACAAAAGGCCTCTCGCAGGCTCAATAGGTTCCTGATCACCGCTGTTCGACGCGGTGGCTGTTGGAATACGCCCCAACGTACCGGCACTCGATTCCAGATTTTGGTCTGCTGAGTGAACCACTCTCTTCTCTTAACTTCACTCTCCTCTAAGTGGAATGCGGGCTAAAAACGATTGAGTACTACGGTCAAAGCATGAGCAGGAAAATATTCTAGCGTTACGCTATGAGCGGAAAGCGCAGTTGTGCTCAATAATGAACAAACTCACGCAATCGAACATCCGACATAAGCCGGCTACAAAGATCAGCCACATCTGTGTCTATATATACATATATATATATATATATATATATATATATAACTTGAATGGGCTTTACTCGAAACGCCCAATGCTGTTCAGTAGTAGCGCATATTCGTGAAGCAAACAGCCTTATAACGCTAATTGCAAGAAACGCCGGTCATCTCGCATCTCAAAGAACACCTGAAGCATTACGTCAGAAAGCGTAATAATGCTAATTTTACAAAAGTTTCTTCAAACGCTTGCAATTATACGAACACTTCCTTTTTTCCTGGAATAAAGGAGCACACCAAACAGTTACAACATGTGCATACATAGCGCCAACATGGTTTGCCATCATAGCCACTTACGGACACAGCCTGGAGAGCTCCCTTTCGGTGGCGGCGAAGCCCAAGTCCCGGTTGTCGGTGAGCACGCGCAGGGGCTCCGAGCAGCGGCTCATGGCCTCCCGAGTGCAGGCAGCCGCCGCCCTCTCTGCCCCTCCATCTGCGGTCAGCGGAAGCCGGTCGGCCGGTCACGGCGGGCAGCGGCAGCGACGCTCCCGGGGCGGCCGTCAACCGCGTGGCCGAACATATGGCGACGGTCCGCCGGCTCGCGGGGGCACGCGCACTTGGTGGCCACAGCACTGTCATGGACAGAAGAAGGCTTCAGCACTGTCCACGCATGGGCAGCGGATAAGCTGTCGCATTATCCACACATGGACAGTGGGTAAGGTGCACTAAGCTACGTCACTGTTGACACATGGACAGTGGGTAAGCTGCGGCACTGTTGACACATGGACAGTGGGTAAGCTGTGGCACTGTTGACACGTGAGCGGTGGGTAAGCTGCGGCAATGTTCACACGTGGGCAGTGGGTAAGCTACAGCACTATTGACACATGACGTATTCGCATTTGTTCCCTTCGCTTTTTAGACGGGTTGGGGTCTGTTTTTTCCCTGAGCATGTTCATGTTAGCAAAAATGGCATATTCCGAGAATAATTTTATGACAAGGTGGGCATTTTGAATAAGACAGATAGCTCTTATCTGCTTCATTTTGCTACCTAAGTGTTCAGTCTACCACCCAGTACTTCTACACTGAACTTTACTTTGGCAAGGGTAACTTCAAGGCATTAGCTTGTGCCACATTGGCCGCACTTGCACCAACTCGTTCCCACAAGCGCAGGTGAAGAGACATGCCACCTTAAATCACCTCTCTCTGCAATATCATGTAGCGTAGCACTTGTCATTTTGCTGGAGGCTGGAGACACGCACCAGAAGAGGCAGGCATTACATGGTTTATCCACAAGGGTATTTAGGCTAGTTTTGGAAGTAACACACACACATTGGTCGTGCCTTACTCACAAATGTTTGGTAAGACGTGTCATTGGTGTATAAACATGCATGTATGGCTGATATATTGTATATCAAACCATTGAATATCTTAACGACCTATATCTGGGAACCAGTCACATCCTAGACATGATTCGAAGCAAGCGATTGAAGCTTTTAGAACCTTGTCCTAAATTGCACGCTCATGCCATCACCAAGAACATTACTATCCTTTTAAAACTTCCAACAATTTAGATTAATCTCTACCACTCATTTGAGGCAACTCGAAAGAAATGAGGAAAATCTCAGGACTTGAAAGGGGCGGGGGGGGGGGGAGGGGCTGAAATGGCGAACGCTAAGCTGACAGCGCTCCGACGCAGCCGAACAGCAATGCGGCGAAACAACCGTTCGCCTCAGCTTTGACGTGACGCTGCCGCCGCCCGCGCGACGTGCCGTTCGCCGCAGAGCTGCGCGACGGGCCGACCTCTGCTACTCAGCAGTCCGGTCCCGTAGCGGGCTCGTCCTCGGACGCACATTTGTCGGCGGCGCCCGCTCTCCACCGAGCGGCCCGACATGGCCCGGCACTCAGTGCGTCCGCCCCGGAGAGTCGCCATATACGGCCGTGCGCGGCCGATACCGGGCCTCCGCCGAGCGCCAGTGAAAGTGAACGTCCTGCGATCAGAGCCCAAGTCTCGTGTCATATCGATTTCGAAACGTTCGTCGGTCGCCGTCATTCTTGAGCGAAATCTCTGTGTCGTCCGATCCTCTGTAATCCGTCAGTAAAGGCGACTGTGTTCTTCTGAAAGGGTTCATTCAGCTGTCCCGTAGAAAAGAACGGGATCCCATCATTACCCGTGCCACTGCTCGTCATATCTGCAGAGCTAAATCCGGTCTTTCCAGCAGACCCGAAGAAAGCGCAGCACGCACCAGCTGCGCCCGTAAGCCGCGTTTATCCGCATGCGCGCGCATGTGCTACAACAATGTCCGTCTTGCCGGGGCCGATCCCACACGGTCAGCGTGCAGCTGCGGGCGGCGATCTCACGCCGCTGGCCTAGAAATCTTCGCGCTAATCGCCGTCGTCGCGCCGACCGACTGGCCGCGCCGGCCATCTGTCGCGTGCAGCGGCCGACCGCTGCCCCAGTGGCCTGGACGGGCGGCGACGGTCGGTCGCGGCCACGGCCGGCCGCCGGCGCGCGACGCCGGCTGACAGCACGACAGGCGCCGCACCTCGGAGACGGCGGCGGGTCTGTTTACAGCCGATGACACTAATTACGAACATGATACGGCGGCTTTAACAACACCACAGCGCGTGCTATGTTCAACCAGATTCGTTTGCGTTATCGTTTTGTCAGCATTGTATTAAATGACAGCATGGTTTTCTTGGACTAGTTTGTTTGACTTCAACATCAGCTGCCACCACGAAGCCCGGCTCAAGTTTGATGGACTTCAGTTTGGTCACAAGAGGAACGCCGGACCCTTGGGCTGACGTCCCGCACCACGTGAGTGACGCCAGGCTCGTGGGCTGACGCCCCGCACCACGTGAGCGACGCCGGGCTCGTGGGCTGACGTTCCGCACCGCGATACCCTGAAGTATATGTTCAGATTCCACTGACAGCGAGACCGCCGTCTTCAAATTCTCCTTAATTGCTAGGTTCGGTAATTACATTGGGATTACGCTAATTAGGGTTAGTGAGTTAAATCAAGACCAGACTCGACCACGCCTCGCCAACGGCGTCTCCATGAACACTAGCTGACACCATGGTCGAGCGGCGTTCCGTCTGCGCCATGGCGTTTCCGTGAACACTAGCTAACGCCATGGTCGAGCGGCGTTCCGCCTGCGCCATGGTGTCTCCGTGAACACTAGCTGACGCCATGGTCGAGCGGAGTTCCGCCTGCGCCATGGCGACTCCGTGAACACTAGCTAACGCCATGGTCGAGCGGAGTTCCGCCTGCGCCATGACGTCTCCGTGAACACTATCCGACGCCATGGTCGAGCCTGTTCCGCCTGCGCCATGCCATCTCCTTGAACACTAGCTGACGCCATGGTCGAGCCTGTTCCGCCCGCGCCATGGCATCTCCGTGAACACTAGCTGACGCCATAGTCGAGCCTGTTCCGCCTGCGCCATTGTTCTGACATGCCTGCATGGTAATCTAATCGCGACCATCCGGCTGCTGCTGGGGCAATCTGCTGTCGGGAAACGCCCAGCAGCGGCCCCCCACCGCTAGACTGACAAAGCGTAACCCACACTGACGCTTCGCGAGAGCTGTCCCCTAAAGCTCTCGCTAGCGGATCCAAAGACTGCAATATACACTGACGCTTCGCGAGAGCTGTCTCCTAAAGCTCTCGCTAGCGGATCCAAAGACTGCAATACACACTGACGCTTCGCGAGAGCTGTCCCCTAAAGCCCTCGCTAGCGGATCCAAAGATTGCAATACACACTGACGCTTCGCGAGAGCTGTCCCCTAAAGCTCCCGCTAGCGGATACGAAGATTGCAATACACACACTGACGCTTCGCGAGAGTTGTCCCCTAAAGCTTTCGCTAGCGGATCCAAAGACTGCAATACACACTGACGCTTCGCGAGAGTTGTCCTCTAAAGCTCTCGCTAGCGGATACGAAGATTGCAAGACACACACTGACGCTCCACGACAGAGCTGCCCCTTGAAGCTCTCGCCAGCTGATCTAAAAATTGTGACAGACTTGCAGCGGAAACTAAGGATTTTATGACTTGCGTGCTCACAAGGTGTCACTGAAACACGATGTTTTGCTGTCATACTAAGTTGTAAGTTTTGCTGCTCGGGAGCCCGGTGGCCAGCGCACACCGCCGTACTCACATAGATTAATCAGAAGCCTTTGAAGGCCTGCACCGACGGAGCTTCGCTAAATGAACGTTTCCTAGAACGCGGTCCAAGCGTCATTAGAATCGCAATTCCACGAGGCGTCGCCACTCGGCACGTCAGCACCGGCAGCATGCGTACTTTATATACAAAAGTTTTGGTAAATTTATACAGACAACGGACAACGAGACTAACAATGCAGTGGTAATGATGGCGATGTTTGGCTTCCTTAGTTCGAGCGCAAGGTAAATCATCGCAGGGCGAGGGAGAGAGAGAGGGAGAAAATGAAGGAGGGAGGGAGGGAGGAGGGGAGGGAGGAAGAGAGCGAGCAAGCAAAGAAAGGAGGGAGAGAGGAAAGAAAGAACAGAGGAAAGAAGGAAGAAAGAAAGGACGAGAGGGATAGTAAATTTTTGCTTCTGAGGGCTTGAAAACGCCCGATGTTTGCTAATGGCTGGGTGGGTTCCTCACACGCATAAGTCACCTTTCCACCTGGACTGCGTGGCTTGAGCTGCCCGTCCTTATTTCGTTTGTTTTGTGCCAGGCAGCTGCTTGGTCGAGGCTCTGCATCGTCAGAGCTTTACGAAGCGTCTCATCGTACCTCGCATACCATATCTGCGCACACTGCATCTTGGCCTGCCGGTACGGCATATCAATGGGTGCAAGGTCAGGGTGCCATTCCGTCGTGCTGTGCTGAGTCATCGTGATTTCCCGAATTGTTTACACATCTCCCAGTGAAAATGAGCTTTCTAAAGACGGCCCGATCTGTTCCTTACAAAGCGTCATCATCAACATCGCAAGACTATCAACGGGTCAGAGGAAGGCAGGACCGACAGTGTCTCACAGCAGGTCAGAACCAGCAGCGGCTCGCATCTGATCAGGGTCTGCAGCAGTTTTCATGTCAGGGTCGGCAGCGCCTCGCATCAGGTCAGGACGGACAGCGCGCCGCAGCAGGTCAGGACGGGCAGCGACTCGCAGCAAGCCAGAGCCAACGGCGGCTCGCAGCAGGTCGGGATCGGCAGCGGTTTCCACAGTCGCTACAACCGCCCAGCCGCTTCATGCACACCATTAGGCCGGCCTACCCGGCATCACGAGCACAAAGCGTATTGAACTGTTGCCTGCGTCGGTGCCAAAGCCCCACGTGGACGCCTGCATAATTTCCACCACCGGCCCACCGTGGATGCGTATTGAAATATCCAGAGCTCATAACATCTTATGGTCAAAACGCGCAGAATCGCAGCACCCAGCGTTCACATCCAGAAATCGTCCAATGTCTCTGAACAGGAGAGAATCAGAATGTTCTGGCGCGCAGCATCCAGAACCGCAGCATCCAGAGTTCAAAACGTCAAGCGTTCATAGAATCCAGCGCGTGTGAGATCTAGGCGATAGGGTGCTGTACCACTTCATCGCAACCCTTAGCTTAATGGGCCGGATAATGCCCGATAGAGGGCCCAGTTAAACCACTGTGCATGGACACGGGCAACGTTTCGCATATGCACGTAAACTCGGCTGGGTCAGCACGCCCTTGGCCGGAGCGTATTAAAGAATTCAAGGCTTTGATCCCTGGCTCGTGGCATCGGAAATACCAGGTTACTACTACTAGGCAGTAGCTACACGGTGATCATGGAAGGCACTTGTCGGGTTACCTGCTGTTTAATACTGTGGGCTATGGACAAAATTTTCGGTCGTAATTTGGTGCATTATTTATTGCATGTGTAGGTGATGTTTCACAGCCTATTTTTTAAGCAACTGATGATTGATGTGTAAGGCTGATTGATTTGATGACAGCTCCAGGTAGGCGCACATGTTGATATTCAGCTCCTGATAGGTTAACCTGTATTGTTAGTGATTTTAGTTGGCTACTTCTCCCTCCCTCCCTCCTCTCACTGCAACTTCTTTCGCACGCTCCTGCAAACAAGACTTATTCCGAATTTCACGTCTGCTCTCAAGAGGTGGGGGAGGGGCTGTCTCATAAGCTGAATCCGGAAACTACTGGTCAGACGCGCTCAATGGAAACCTGGAAATCTGGTCAGACTGTTGACATCTCTACTGGAAACCTGGTCAGACGCGCCCAATGGAAACCTGGAAATCTGGTCAGACTGTTGACATCTCTACTGGAAACCTGGTCAGACGCGCCCAATGGAAACCTGGAAATCTGGTCAGACTGTTGACATCTCTACTGGAAACCTGGTCAGACGCGCTCAATGGCCAGCCTACGAACAAATCGTTTCTTCAATTAGGTACGTTTAAAACGGGAGCATAGTTTCGCAAAACAAGTTGGTTGGTTGAACGACAAAAAAACAACGAAGAGAACTTCGTAATATGACAATAAACGGGTTTCTCTCCGAATTTGGCTCACTTCTTCTCAAATCTGCAGGCTGGAGCCCAAGCTACGGCGGGGGCGAATCCTGTGCAACTGAAAAGGGAACCGCACTCCTGTTTGCAAGTAAACAGAAAGTCAAAAAGCAAACGTTGACTGCGAATTATCTAATTGTCTGTCAACCGTCCCGCAAAACACTGTGCACGTGCCGCGCTTAAAGGCGCTGTTGATTCACTATCTGAACAGCGGAGCCGAGTATATGCCACTGGGCTGGTTTACGATAAGCTGGATGAATTGGGAGAATCGGGAGCTTGCATTCGCCATCCACTTCATCAATCTCGATACCCTTTCTTTCTTTTACGCTTCGGAACCTCGTTAGTGCAGAATTTAGGGGGTCTAGCACCACCAGTCTATCAAGACGCGTGCAGGGCGTGCTGCAGAGGGGCGATGCTGGTAAAGAGGTTAGTGGTTTGGGTGCTCATCTCTGGACTGTTTGATCCTGGTCCCGCCCACTCCACCACCGCATGCCACATACCTAATGTCTGATTAAATCCGTAATAGAGGTGTTCCGCCTTTAAACGGCCCTGGCGGCCGGTGAGGCGTGAAGCCCCAATCGGTGTCATAGTCTGTCCGACAAAAAAACCGCCGGCAGCCAAATTCTCGGACGACGCTTCCGCTCAATGGGTATATGGCTGTGGGGAGAGCGATCTACAATGGGATGGACGCGGAGCTCAGACACACAGGTGAGCCCAGGGGCTGTCCAACTCCAGTGGCACACACAGGAGATGGGCAGGGGTACGTGCCCCCCCCCCCCCCCGCCTTAGGCCTCTGGGGACAGACGTTCAAATATCGGATTGGTGGCTTTGAAGAGCCCGAAGGGCTCGGCGGAAATTGTATTAGGGATCCCGGCCCTGCGGCCTGGGTCCTCATGCCGGTCAGAGGGCCCTTTGAGCCGATCGCGGGCCTCCGGAGTCGATGAAGGCCTCTACGTCGATCAGGCACCACTAGAACCGAACAGTCCCAAGCAGGGACAAGGCAAGGCCAGCGAATTACGCTGGTCGGGGCCCCTGAAGCAATAGAGGCACCTTGTCGGAGGGGGCCAGTGTACTTAGCAGTGAGTTGTGTTTGCAAGGGCGGAGAATACCGGAACATTGAGTGTTTTGAGTGTCGCGAATAAACGGGGAAAATTTTTTTAAAAATACACTGTTGCCTGTCAATGATGCTTAACTGTAATGTGTAAATCCTATTGTCTGTGTTGCGATGCGTATGCAGAATGTTCGCACTTAACCGGCATTACAATAACTGCTGTATGTAGGCATAAGATCTATGCAAGAACAAGCAGGAAGAATTTTTAGCTTATAAACGTTTTATGATGTCGGCTGTCTATTACCGTCATTCCAGAAAATGTCCAATGCAAGATGAAACATTGAAAAATTCAAATAGTACCAGGTCATGCCATATGACAATCTAAATCTTCTTTGTATGATGAGCTGTGGCGCCCCCCGGCATATGGGACTCCGGCAGCAGCGGCGGGGCGAGAGCGTCCGCCTGCGCCGCGGGCGCAGAGGTCCCGGCCGAGCCCGCGCCAGCTGCCACATCTCCGGCTGCGGCGCCGCCCGGCGCGCCTGGGCTTAGTCCGCCGGTGGACGTCGGGGCGCGGCCGCGCCCAGGCCGGACACGACCGCCAGGCGTCTAGGTAATTTATATTTACCATGCTCCACTGTACGCATCACGTGATAATCAATGGAATGCCAGGTTGACTGTACCATCCATTGACAGAAGAGGGCAAAAGCGGCAAGAGTAAAAATCCTTCTGTAGTGTCATCTAACGGCAGGAATCCAAACTAATATGGGTGCCAGGAACGCTGGACGTTCCGAACACTGGACTTTACGACTCTGGACTTTGCGACTCTGGCCGTTGCGCACCTGTATCTCATAAACGCCCTCAATGGGCGCGAAATTGGACGCATGCTGAACGTTTTGAGCACTGGATGTTGCAATCCTGGATGATATAAGCACCGGACGCTACAATCTTGGATGTTTTGATGACTTCCCGCCACCCGTCCCGGCAACCCGCGGTCATGATGGCGTTTTCGGCATTATGGACGCCTTTGTAGACAGCGATAGAGGTGGGGAGAGTGGAGAATGGTCTCTGATAGCCGGCGATACCCCCCCCCCCCCCACACACACACCGTCACGGCAACGGCGTGCGCAGGCTGGCAGCGCAGGCAACAACGGATCGTATTTCCGGCAAACGTGGCTCGACAATGAACGCAAACGCGGCCGTGGTAGGTGCTACGTCACTGGCGGGCAGGCGGCGCACCACTCCTGCAGCTGATCTATGCATGTCCCGTGGACTTCCAGCAGGCTTCCTGGAAGCACTGTGGCCGTGATCTAAGCCTAGCTTCGTCGCAAACTATAGTGCCTGACGTCTTGAGCTGGCCAACATTATCGCCATAATCGCAATGTAACAACGAAGGTTGATTGTTCAGTTGAGGTGCTTCGCTTTGGTGCTCATCCTACATCTCTTGAAGTTATACCAGCTCGGCATTAACGATCTTCCCGTGCAGCTCTTGAGAACGGATAGATTTATCCCAACCCCTACCCTCCCTTCCCTTCTGGGATTTCAGACTGTTTTGAACAGATAAGCTCGCGATGCACTGATACCAGACACGTACGGTATATTTCTCCGACCAATATCCGACCCTGCACTCCGGTTTGGGCTCGACATTGACAGTACTGGCTTAAGGACTTCCAAACTTGTGAAACGAACATGGTTTTCAAAGGTCAAGGGTTTAAAAATCCTCCGATATATGGCTTTGATGGGTCATTCCAAACAATGCTTAATATTGTTTCCAAAATTTTCAGCTCAAGAAGCAGATGAACCGAACAGCCTTAGTTACAGTGAAGTTGCGACAAAACATCAAGTTGATATAGCCACGTAAAATTTGGGCAAACTTGCAGGTGCAGAGTTAACGTTGCCACGGGTCCACCCAAGGTTAGCCTTCACGTAAAAACATCATAACCGTTGAACTACAGATTGCAGAACATATCAAACGATTCAGCTCAAGAGAACATGCCGCACGTGCCATCGAGTCATGCCATCTCATCCTGATTCAGACAAATCCATCCAAGTACAAAAACTGATCTCCAGTGTGGGCTTCCCAGGCTGCGCGGCGCATGTGTGGCATAGCTGACATACCGTGGGCGAAGAGCACAATGGCCAGGGCGGTCGTGGCGTATGCTGACGACATGGCTGGCCAGCCCCCAGCAGCCTGAAACGGGCCGTTTACGCGTCACATGGTGAACGGCGGTAGTTCGACGCGAGCGGTCATGCGCAGACCCTTGCATAACCCAGATCCGCAAGAAATTTTTACCGATTGTGCTGCCCTCTGTCGACGAGTTTTTCAACCACACCGTGTGACTGCAGCGTACCACAGCAAGACTGGCCGCGGTCGCTACCATCATGACCATAATTGCCCTGCATCCATTGCGAATCGTCCCAGATCTATGGTTTAATGTTGCATTCGAGCCAATGGGCTCCATACTATACGATAAAAGCGAACATGCGGCAACGATAAAAAACATACCACTATCGTGTTACGAGCGCACAAAAGCAAACAACACCCTCTTTGCCACATTGGTCAAGCCTAGACATGAAGACAGCGCGGCACCGCAAGGTCACAGCGACCGGCGGCAGGCGATTCTAGGACGGTGCCGTACAGCACGACAATGTCCTGCGCGGCAATGTAATAATGGCGACAATATAATACAATAAATTCATACAGTTGTTGCGACTAAGCCAGAAAGCAGGAAACCCCAAAATGGCAGCCACCACCGACTTCGCGACCCGCAGACTAACAACGGTGGGAGGGGTCGGTAGCGACTAGACCACCACCGGGGTTCAGTGGTCATTTAAAACGCTGAAGACGCTAGCGTTGTCATGGCATGAAATAGGATCACCTATGCCGCGCCAGACCAGCTACTCCAAAGCCGATCCAATGTCATCCCAGCCCCGCACCCACAAGACGATCCAGATCGCGAAAATCACACTTTGCACTTGATTGAGGTAGCAGGCGGCAGCCACACCTCAGACTGAGAGGCAGAACCACATGAGAGGAAAAACATGTTTTGTTTACAATTGAATCCGCTGTGGCATTTCTGTCACACTTTGCTCAAGTAACAGAAAAAATATTCCGCGCGTTTGGCAACAGTTCCATCTGACGTCATGTAGAATATCTGTCGTTCGGGCCGCTGCGAACACCAAAAGGCGCAGATCCTATGAGTTATGACGTAGACGGTATTCAATGGGTCGTTCGGGTCGCCGCGAATACACTCCTCGTCCTGAAATCGCATGTCACCAGCTCTCGTGCCTCGCAGGGCCGTGCTATGTTCATCTCGAGACTTGTCTAATGCGTCATCAGTGGCAGTGTTTGCTTCTGTGCGCGCTTCCTGTGTTCTTGGTGTTTCACCATGTTTTATCGCATCATTTCACCAGCATCGTTTTTATCGCATAACATGGAACCATTGACTCCGGTCACGCATTAAGCCATCTATACCCAAACCCTAGTAATAAACGGATGATGATGATGATCATCATAATGCTGGTGATCACGGCCAGAGTGCTGCTGCGGCACCACTGCGGACACGTGGTGCAATTCGAAAATTCGTCGGGAGGTGACAGCAGGGTTGGCGGTAACTCCTTGGGGAGGCTCTGAGAGCAATGTCTAGACAGTGTTTTAAGCTTTCGTAGCATTTACTACACAAAAGTTTAATACATCAGTGGGTTGCAAACGTTGAAAAACACCCACGTTGAAAAACAAGATCAGTGAAATGCATTCCCTTCACAGCGGTGAGCAGGGAGTCAAAATGAATTTATCCCACAGGATCGGCTACTTCAGATCAAACTTCCAAGCCATTCATAAGGATTTTGAGACAACTGGTACAGCTGATCAAATCGCACGCGTCTGACGCAGTTACAAGCAAAAAGTGTGCAAAAGGAACAAAGAGTACACTGTGTACACGGTGTACACCACTCTAACACGCGCTACGGCGGGGGTAAATTTGATCCTCAAAAGTTTTTACGCCATGGTTTCCAAACGGGGCGGTGTAGCCGCACCAAAAATTTGCATGACTCTAGAAAATTAAATAGCGCATCGTTTGGTTAAAAGAAAATTGGACGTACCTCGCATGGTCGCTGGCCTACGCCAGGTCAAAGCCAGGCCCTGTACTCAGCGAAGACAATTTCTACGCAAATGTTCAATCGATTGCAGCAGTGGAGTGTTAGAAGTAGCCATACATACTTTAGATACTTTCTTAGGCAGCACGACAAACGAATGAACAAATTGTATCGACCTAGGGTCAGGTATGAAAGTCAGACCAAGGTCAGAAGCAACTGGTTTTATTACCCTAGGACTTGCTGTATGCGGCAGTTCCTGGTGTTCATTTCAAATTTACTGATGGCAGGAACCGCATCATAAATCTCCCAAAGACATCTTAAAGGTCAGAATATGCCACTGACCTAAAACACCCGGGTCAACATTTTGTTTCTAGAACCGTACTACCTAGCGTAATCTTTGTCGCTTATTCCAATGCAAAATTCAAAGCAGTGCTGTATCATTTTGGTCGCCATGACCTTCAAGAGGGTAAACAACGTCACTGATCTTAAATGAGCATGTGACCTCTTGCTTAGAAACAGCTATCTAGGTTCTGGGGGCACTTTGGAGACCGAACTGGAATTTGACCTTATTTGACTTATTTGACACAAAGTTCATGACCTAGGAACCTCAAACTTTGATCTAAGTGAGTTCACGTACAGCCCAATGTACTCTGTGAACTTGATGTCTCTAGGTCTCTTAGTTCTTGAGGTCTCAGTGGGGTCAAATTGACCCCACCCGAGCGAACGGTATCCAACCGTCCACACGGGCGCGTGTTAAAATGGTTGACCGCACCAAGCATAAAGTGAAAGATGTTTCTAGTTGCAACAATGCAGGCCCAAACAACAGCATAAAACTTACTTGCGGCATTGTTTCTATCTCAAGAACCTAGCAACCCACGAGGCTCAATCTGGAGTAACCGTTCCCTGCATCGTAAAACCCCGGTCAATGTCAATTTATTGATCCGGACGCCAGTCATAACATAAATTCCAATGACATGATTTGACTTGGCTGCTCCTGACGCAACCTGATATGCCTTCAGTTTCACCTTGAACGGCGACATCCTATAACCACATTTCTGGAGACAGGAAATGAGATATTTCCCCGCGGTCCCAGTATTAACGGTCAGCAAACGAAACTACGTCCCCCACAGGTTCGGTTGCACTCGGTAATACGCATCGCTATGGGGATGCTCTTGTAACGTGTAACGCCATACGTTGCACAAATGACTTCAGCTTGTCTCCTTCACGACGAAAAAGGACGGTGCTGTCGATTGGCCTCGAATCTATATGCGCCAACTAATGGCGTCTGATATTAGTTCGAAGCCAGATCTAGCCGCCACAGGCGGTCGTGAAAGACCCCACGTGGTGACGGTTAATAACTGTCATTATGTAAGGAAATACTCAATCACGGCAGCGAAAGAGAGTTCATTTACCAAAGTGACAGCCATTCCACAACATGCTTATTTATTTTTTAGATGGCCCTGTCGGCAGCAATGCATTTTGCTGTCGGTACGAATGCGTGCTTTTCAGGCAAGCAATATCCCACAATACGGGCGCGTTGCGTTGTCGATACGGGTGTTCCTCTGCTACGGTTCGGATGCCGCCCTTTCCCCAGCATTAGGATAGACCCCGTGTGATGTCTAAACTGGCAGATACCTTGTTTCAGCTCCCAACGACGTCGCTCAGAAGTTAAAGGCAAAACTTCGTCTGGACGTTAGGTTTTCTTTTGACTCTGTCGTTTCGTGAACTGGGTCAAGGGTGCCTCCCTGCTCGGGCTTGAGAACAGTTATCTGGATAGGCTATAAGGTGTGTCTACACTTGGGGTTGGCGCACACCTTTGCATAAGTTTGGAGCACCTCATCTCCGGGAAAATCCCTCCATTTACGCTTCGTCCGCCCTAGATGTGGAGTGCGGAGTGGTGTTTCACCTGTCATCAGGCCGCATTTCCAGTTATGCTTGTGAGCTCTCTACACTTTGACCACTGCGCAACACCATCTTCACTCCGGGGCGTGGTGAATTGGGAGTCGGTAGAGCAGATCATCCCGTGTCCCAATGCTCGCATGCGCGTACAGCGTCCGTCAGCCAACCAGCTGAACCCGGTGATTGGCTGACGTGTAAAGGGTGAGTTTAAAACAGGTTATTTCAGCACTGCGGAAAATATGTATTTTTTATTTAATTCAAGCGCGACGGCAGCCGTTTCCCGTTGAGATTGAGTGAGAATAGAGGCGCGTCCTCCACTGGTGGCATGTGACTGCATTGGTACTTCATTGGCTCATTTATGCACGAAGTGAAGGATGGCTGCGGGTGGTACGCTCCATCGCTGGTTCAGCAGAAACGTTGGAAAGGCACACCGAAAATAAAACACTAAGCCTTGCAGGTTTTCAATACCCAAAGTCCCCATATGCATGCGCAGATAAACGATAGTATAGGTGTGGGTATATATATATATATATATATATATATATATATACGCATATATTGACTACTAACGACATTTCACAGCATAGTAGCAGCATCTTAAGGCTGAACATCCAAGGCTTAAACATGAATACCATGCAGGTCTAGTACACACAAACAAATAAAACACACCGCAAATGCACATGCAGTAACACACGATCCACCCCAGATTACAGATCAAGTTTACTTTAGCGCAATTCTAATGTGTACGACGACGCCATGTTGTTTAGTGATGGAGATTTCCAAAAAGTTACAACTTCATTGCTCTCAGATCCGACGTGGAATAAGTATTGCCTAGGTAAGTAAAAATGTCGGCCAAAAATTGGCATTCCTTTAGCTCATCACAAGTCAGGAACATAACAATTTGAAACCGCCAAATCCATTACACTTCAGTCATAAATCAGGTTTTTGTGTTTTGTTACCTTCATTTAAGGATATCTTGGTGCTATAAGCCTTAAGTCTAATTTTAAGTCTAAAGTCTATGTTTGATTTTTGGTGTAGGCTAGATCCGCCACCGAAGTTAAAAATGTGCTTATCATGTAGAGTTTTTATCGTGGTGATGGTGGTGGTCGGGGCTCAACTCAAAAACTATTCACTGCACACCGGGCTATGCGCACCGTAAACGAGCGCAATTTCTTGCGAGCCGTAAAAAATTGTATG